AATAAAACTAGGATTAATTAGATAATTAATCCTTAACTAGAGTTTGGATTTACGGGGGTCACAAGAACTCTAGTCGTTATATCGTGGACCGCAATACATCGTAGTCAGAACGATGTCGTTTCTTTAAGTAAAGAAACTGTGCGCCGTTACTCTTAACGGAGCGCGTGTTTTTTGGTGTGTTAATTACTAACTAAAACTACAGTGTATCTGAACTGACACTACAGTGTATCTAAATCGACACTGTCTCATGAATTATTTTATATATTATCAAATGATACTGTAGTTGTGGTGAAATGAAACTGCAGTGTATATAAAATGAAACTGAATAACATTTCACATATTTGAGTGTATATTGTGCAATGAAGCTGTAGTTATATCGAAATATTCATGTATTTGTTTTTTAATGAAACTATAGTGTATATAAAATACAATTAAATAAATTTTCAGATATTTGAGTGTATAAATATCGTATGAAACTGTAGTTATATCGAAATGAAACTGTAGTTGTGTTGAACTGAAACTGTAGTGTATATAAAATGAAACTGAATAACAGAGTTACTTTTTTGTGGAATGGCGCAAAACGGGTGCCGTTTCTTTTCATTAAATAAAACGACGTCGTTTTGAAACTCAGTGCATAATCGATTATGCACCGCGGTGCACGATATAATTTACGATTGAACTCACACTCGGAAAGTATATAATTTCATAACACAAAACACAAAAAATCACAACACAAGACACATAGCATAGCATTATGGACCCAACTGGATTGAAAAGACAAGGTACAAATTAAAATTCATAATGGTAAAGTACATAATTTAATAACACAAGACACAAAAAATTATAACACAAGACAAATATACATGTTATATATTTATTTATTTTTAAAATCTGATTTAGGTACATAATTTGTGTTCATAGGCACAAAATTTCATGACACAAACATAAAAATCCATAACATAAGACAATTACTAATTTGTTACGGGTACAGAATCCATATTCATAAGGTATAAAATTTTATAATGCAAGATACAAAAATTCATAACACAAAACACAAACACATGAACTAGGGTTCATAGGGCAGTGTGAACTATGGTCCATGGTATAACGATTGATCCATTTTATATATATTGTATGTATATGTCCCTTTGTATATATATAGTTAACTTATAAATACTAAATTGACATAAATTTAATCTAAAGATGAGTTAGTTTAGATGGTACGTATATGAATTTTCTCTAACATAAAATTCAAATCCTTTAACATAAAATTTTGATTTTGGCCTTTTAAAACAATTAATAGTGAGATTATAATTGTTATGAATGAGATTAATCTTAATATTAATAATAGTGATACGAGTGATTTGTAATGTGTTTTCTATTTGAATGATTTTATCTAATTAATTAACGCGAGAAGCACAGAGAGATGGAGAGAAGGAAGAAAACGGTTACTGGATTGAGTTCATCAAGTGAATGAAGAAGCTTACAACAGAAAGGAAAACTGCCACCTCTATATACTAAGCATGGCAGTTGTTACACGGTTACAATATATCTTGAGAATCAAGCTAGATTACCCTTTTTGCCCTCTTCCTCTAATACCACCCCCCCCCCCCCCAGCGCTGGAATGTGTATGTCTTGGACACCCAGCTTAGATACAAAGGTTTTAAACATGGAAGAGGTTAGGGGCTTAGTAAAGCCATCCGCTATCTGGTTGAGAGATGATACAGACAGGAGTTTTATCATGCCTCTAGCAACCCTTTCTCTTACGACGTGGCAATCGATCTCGATATGCTTCGTCCTTTCGTGGAATACATGGTTCTCCGCTATTGCTATGGCGGACTTACTATCACAGAAGACAATTGCAGGTTCAGTGGAGGCAACATGCAGGTCTTGGAGAAGGGAGCTTAGCCATTGTATTTCGCATGCGGTTGTAGCCAAAGCCCGGTATTCAGCCTCGGAAGAAGATTTGGAGACGGTGGCTTGTTTCTTTGCTTGCCATGATACGAGAGATGAGCCTAAGAATATGCAGAGCCCCGTGACAGACTTGCGTGTCTCAGTGCAAGCTTCCCAATCCGAGTCTGTAATGGCTTTTAATTTGAGGATGGAATTTGCCGGATAAAACAGACCTTGACCTGGAGAGCCTTTGATGTATCTTAGGATGCGGTGAGCAGCTGCCATATGTTTGTCTGTGGGGGAGCTGACAAACTGACTGAGTTGGTGCACAGAGTATGTGATGTCGGGTCTAGTTGCAGTTAAGTATAACAACCTCCTTATGAGTCTTCAATAGCTACTTGGATCAGGCAAAGGCGTACCATCCATATGTGATAGAGAGGTACTCGGTACCATTGGTGTGCAAACTGGCTTACTGTTTAAGAACCCTGCATCATCAAGAATGTCAAGGGCATACTTGCGTTGGCATAAGTTTAACCCTGCACTGCTAATCTCATCCTCGATGCCTAAGAAATAACCAAGCACGCCTAGGTCCTTGATTTTAAAAGCTGCATGCAGCAGATCCTTTAGTTCTTGAATGAGAGTTAACCTGCTGCTTGCCACCAGTATATCGTCTACATAGATCAAGATGGCAACGAATTCTTCACCAGTGCCTCTTGTGAATAATGAAGGATCCCCACTAGACTGCTTGAAACCAACATGAGACCAGGCAGTGGTTAATTTGGCATTCCATTGGTGACTAGCTTGCTTTAAGCCATAGAGAGATCTCGTCAACTTACACACTTGATTCCTCTTTTCTGTCTAAAAACCGGGAAGAAGAATCATGTACACCTCTTCCTCTAGATCACCATGGAGAAAAGCGTTGTTAATGTCCATTTGGTGGATGTTCCAGCCCCTTGAGATAGCTACAGCCAAAAACATACGAATGGTAAAGGTTTCGATGTAGTCTATTCCTAGCTGCTGTGTGTACCCTTTGGCAACTAACCTTGCCTTGTACCACTCCACTGTGTCGTCTGCTCTTAGCTTGGTTTTGTAAACCCATTTACAACCTATGGGTTTCTTTCCAACAGGTAAGTCCACTAGCTGCCATGTATTATTCTCTTGAAGAGCTGTTATTTCTGCCTTCATAGCATCTAGCCAGTATTGATGTTGGATTGCTTGATTATAGGAACGGGGTTCTGCAATGGAGGAGACTGCCATGGTGAAAGCCTTGTGTGATGATGATAGGCCATCGTATGAGAGAACCTCGGACAGAGTGTGAGGAGATGGATTTTGTGCTACTACTGAATCACAGTAATAGTCGTATAGTCTGGCCGGCACATGTTTTTCTCTGGTGGATCGTCGAGGGGCCAGAGGGGGATTGATATGCTGCTGTTCATCAATTTCTCTGGTTGCATGATCGCATGATTGGGAGGCCACATCATCTTCTGTTGCAGTGGATGGGGCTTCATGGTACACCTGTTCATCAAATAATCCTTCTAGTGACCGGTTGGCAGAATTGTGGCTATTTCGGCTGTTGTGTGTCTCATGCGTGAACTGCTCAACATGGGAGTAGTTCGTGTTGCCAAGGCTAGGCTGTTCTTCGAAATCCAATTGTGTGGCCAGAGGAATGTTTGGCAAGGGGGGGGGGGGGTTGAATAACTGTGGTACCTGCTCAGTGTCTTTTATGGTCTGCTCCGAGAAGTGGAACTGCAACTCATAGAACACAACATCACGAGACACAAAGATGGATTTGCCCCAATCATGTCATACAAAATATATCCTTTGATATTAGCAGGTAATCCTATGAATGCACACTTTCTTCCCCTTGGATCCATTTTATTTCTCTGGTGTGGCAGTGTGGACGCAAAGCACAAGCAGCCAAGAACTTTGAGTGTAGAGAGATTCGGATCTTTCCCATATAACTTGTGAAAGGGGCTTAGACCTTCAATAACTGGAGAAGGGAGACGGTTGATCAAGAAAACAACATGTGATACGCACTACCCCCAAAACTCTATAGGCAATTGAGCTTGGAATCGGAGAGATTGTGTAACATTGAGGATATGTTGATGTTTTCTTTCGACGACCGCATTTTGTTGGGGGGTATTCACACAAGACCTTTGATGAATAATTCCCTTTTCAGAAAAGAAATTTCCCATGTCGAACTTGGGTCCATTATCACTACGTAGCACCTTGATTAGAACACCAAATTGAGTCAGAACAATGCTGTGAAATTTCTTTATTAAACCCCTGACCTCTGACTTTCTTTTCATTAGATGAAGCCAAGTGAATCTTGAGTAATCATCTACTAAAGTTAGGAAATATTGCCCCCCTTTCATGGAATTAACTGGGAAGGGACCCCATATGTCAACATGAACTATCTCAAAACAGCCATTTGTTGAAGAAGTACTTAAAGGAAAAGGGCAACGTTTGTGTTTAGCTAGGTGGCATACATCACAAGCTCTATTTGGGTGAGTAAGCTTTGGTAAATCCTTGATCAAATGCATCTTATTAGTTGGGAAATGCCTTAATCGTTGATGCCAAAGTTCAACTCTATTACATTGCATTATCATATTTTTGTGACTGAAATCAGACTATGCAGGCAGCTTTGTCATGATGTATAATCCCTTCACTTGTTTAGCTAAACCAACCGTCATCCCATGGGGTTCCCGAATTGAGCACTGTGTAGATGAGAAAATCAGATTGTAAGGAGTGTCTTGTACAAGTTTGCTCACAGAAACTATATTAAAACGGAAGGAAGGAATATGCATTGCATCCTTCAACCATAGGTTCTCTCCAATGCATATGTTTCCTGTGTGTTTGACAGCTACTTTCTCCCCTGTAGGTAGGCCTACTTCATCTCCCTCAACAACATAATATTCATCAAATGTTTGAATATAACAAGCAATATGGTCAATAGCCCCAGAGTCTAAAATCCATGTATTGTTGCATAAAGAAATATAATTAATATGTGAGTTAGAGGACTTGCCTTCATTCTGTTCTTCATTAAACTTTGGAATGAGGGAGATAGCCGCTGCTGTGCTTGAGCTAGATGGCTTCCCCATCTGATTCTAAAGAGTTGCCATGAGTTTTTGGAATTGTTCTGCAGAAATTCCCATGTCATTCATATTGCAGATTACTAGTGCTGCATTCTGTTGCTTTGCCTTGGCCTTGTAACCGGGTACCCATCCCGGAGGGTGCCTGTGCTTCTTATAGCACTTGTCGATGGTGTGTCCGGTCATGCCACAAAAGACACATTTAGGTTTGTTCATTCCATTGTTTGTATATTTCTTGGCATTGTGTGAGTTAATGGCAGCCACCATTTCTTCTGTAGGTACTTGAGCATTCTGGACAACAATAATGTGGTTAATTTCATAGTTGCCTACAAACAAATTAGCCATGTTGAGCTGCCTCTCTGTCTTCTCCGCCATCACATAGACTTTGTAAACTTCTGGCAGAGGCTCAAGAACCAGAACATTGGCTTTCAAGGCACTATAATCATCGCTCAGTCCTTGAAGAAAACGGATCACATGATCTACCTCACGCTCTTCTCTTGTGTAGTAATCACTTACTGAAAAATTACCTTGTTTCAAGTTGTAAATGTCGTTTTTTAAGGCTGAGATCCTCTGAGCGTCGCACTGTGCGAACCTTCTCCTGAGATCATTCCATACGTCACTAGCTGTATCCAAGTGCACCGATCGAAAGATCCACGAACACACCATGAGATTGCACCTTCTCCAGATCGAAAACTGGTTGCTGTCTCTGCTTGATGCCACAAGACTACCGTCAACTATACACCACTTGTTCTTCACCTCCAGGGCTATTTTCATGGAGATGCACCACGATTTGTAGTTGGAGCTGCCTACTAATGGTGGATTCACGAGAACAAGGCTGGTGTTGTCGTTCGAACTGAAGAGGAAAGGATTTTCCAGTTCCTCTCCATTGTAATTTCTCTGGTTTTGCCGAGGTAAGTTCTGCTGCGGAATCACCTCTAGAGCTTGCAGAATCGTCGAATTACTGTTTGGTGATTGATCGTGATCGATCGGTGCTTCGACGCGTCCTCCTTGATTGATCTCGCCGGCGCCTGAGACGGCGGCGGCATAAGAGTCGTACCGTAGCTCTGATACCATAACGCGGGATGCACAGAGATATGAAGAGAAGGAAGAAAACGGTTACTGGATTGAGTTCATCGAGTGAATGAAGAAGCTTACAACAGAAAGGAAAACTGCCACCTTTATATACTAAGCATGGTAGTTGTTACACGGTTACAATAAGTCTTGAGAATCAAGCTAGATTATCCTTTTTGCCCTATTCCTCTAATATTAATTATATTTCATATATTATTTTGAATAATTTGTTAATCTCATTTTGATGTATTTAATTTTCCCCCATAGTCAATAATATTGACGACTGTCGCCCTAAGTACTTTTTTTAAAAAATAAAAAAAATTCATTGATTTTTAATCTTTCGCCTCCATTATCGAAGTTTTCAGGATCTGCCCCTAAACCAAGGTTTATGTTGCATCAAAGACCCATATACATAAAAATAATATGTAAGTATATAAAAAAAATTCATATACATAAAAATAACACGAAATTCATAAAATTGAACCAATTGATCAATTTTATCACTTAAATATATTATTTATATTTATTTTTAAATAAATAAAATCAATATATACATATACACATACATACATACATACATACATACATACATACATATATATATATATATATATATATATAATAATAATAATAATAATAATAATAATAATGTTCATATGTGGTCATGTTGTTAGGTGGTGGTCGTGTGGCCGAATTTCAGAATATACTAATAGTGTTAACAACATGCACCAATAATGTAAGGGAAACACACCACAATGAAATGTAAAAAAATACCAAAAAATACACAACAGACCCAAAAAATACACCATATAACTCATAAACCCCAATGGTGTATTTCCGAACACTGTATGGTGTTTTTACTCACACCTAATGGTGTGTTGTTGGTGATCCGTACCTAATTTGTGTGCGTTTTTTGTGGTGCATTTTCTGACGTTGATGGTGTATATCTTACTTAACTATTGGTGTATTCTGAAATTTCGCCACACGACCACACCTAACAACATGATCACATGTGATCACCTCTCTCTCTCTCTCTCTCTCTCTCTCTATATATATATATATATATATATATATATATATATATATATATATATATATTTTAAATATTTCAACAAATAAAACCTATATTGATATATTTTTTCAATATATCTTTTTAATAATTTGTAATGAACTTGCTATAGTAATTTTATAAGCTTATAGTAGTGACTTTATTTTTATAATACTAACTTTATGAACTTGGAATAAAATGATTTATGTATCTAAAGTAATAATTTTATTTGTGTATATATTTATTAAAAATTAAAAAAAATCAATATGACGTCATTTAAAAGATCTTAATTAAATTTTTTTAATTATATATTTTTCATACATTAAATTTATTTATAAAAAAATAAAAATTATTTTTAAAAAATAAAAAAATATTAAATGTCTATAACAATATGCACTCTACTCCATAAATATAACTATTAGGGTCCAGGGGGCATAAAGCTAAATGGTCGAAAGAATGAGTGTTGGTGTATAGTTCAACGATTATCCAATTTGAATTTTCAGAGGAAGATCTTAGTCTTAAAAAAAAAAGTACTTAGACACATTATATGATTTACTTCCTCTTACAATTTTTAAAACAATCAAGTATCTTTTGTGTTGATGTCATCATTGTGACTATTCTCTTGTTTTTTTTTTTTTTTTTTTTTTTTTTGAATACTACTGACTCTATTATAATTTAATATCCGTTTTATACTTTCTCTAAGAGTAAAAGACATTTTTGGTCCTAGACTTATAATGACACAGACAATTTTGATCCTTTATAAAAAAATCAGACAATTTGTGGACACTCTTATTGTGACTATGATAATTTTGGTCCTCCGTCAATGTTTCCGTTAGATGACCGTTTGAGAGGGGGTATTTATGTCTTTTCATCATTTCAACTCAATCTCAGCTCTGCAAACGACGTAGTTTAAGTTGTTGGCTAAGAACCCTGATGGAATTGATCTTTCTTTCAAGAATGTTGGGGGAAAGATGTTTGATGCAATGCTGCTGGACATGAATTGAAGCTCCATGGACGCATTGCTGTATGCGGGATGATCTCACAGTACAACCTTGAAAAGCCTGAAGGCATTCACAACTTATTCTGTCTAATAACCAAACGGATCTGCATGGAAGGATTTCTGGTTTTAGATTACGGTTGAAGCGCCGGAATCCTCGCTCATGGACGACGGAGTTGAGAAGTACGACTTCGATAAGGGAGATTGGGATGATGGCGGCTAGTCTGCTATGATTTCGGAAACGGTGCCGCTGTAATCGGCGAGGAAAACGAGATCACATACCGAGTCCGTGGATGGATTGCGTCGCCTGGACGTGGTTTTGTGGAATCCTTCTATATCGCCGCCTCAAACTCCGACAACATTGCTCTAATGGTGGAATTCTTATGTTAGCATTGATGAGGCAGAAGCTCAGTTCAGGAATTATCAGCTTTTGTTTGATTATATCAATTCTAATCCAAGCTTGAATGCAGAAGCAAAATTTGGCACATTGGAAGATTATTACAACTCTGCGTGAAGAGGCTAAGTGCAGGAAGCTTACTCATTTGGCACATGAGAAGTTGCCTATGATTGTGATAATTACAAGGTTATCTCAGAGGGCCACTTGGTGCAGGAAGCTTACTCATTCCCAAAGAAGGCATGGGATAAATCTCCAATTTCCCATAGCACCCGCATCTATGATTGTGATAATTCCATACAGGGCTACACCATTGAGAAGGAGTACCGTGTTGAGCTTGTTGACAGCAATTTTAACAACAAAGAGATGATAGCTAGATACAAGACTGAGTTGAAATGATGAAAAGACATAAATACCCCCTCTCAAACGGTCATCTAACGGAAATATTGACGGAGGACCAAAATTGTCCTCGTCACAATAAGAGTGTCCACAAATTGTCTGATTTTTTTTATAAAGGTTCAAAATTGTCTGTGTCATTATAAGTCTAGGACCAAAAATGTCTTTTACTCCTTTCTCTAACTACTGCAGGCTAAAGAGTCAATACTCCACCACCGGGATTCGATCTTGTAACCTTCCCTTAAGATGAACTACAAAAGTGTCATCTAAGTACAAGATGTTTGGCCATTGTGACTATTCTAAATGAAAGATCACAAATTCTAGTATCATTCTAATCAAGAATATAATGTTGACATAATCATGTTGAGCCGATAGGGTTGTAAAATACGGACTTGGTTGAAGACGGAGGCGTGAAGGAGATCGAGACTGGAGTGGTCCCACCCTGTTTGGATGGCTCATGTGGGACCCACAGTTGTTCCTTCTTTGGATTACACGTCGTTTCAGAGGAGGAAGAAATGCGAGGGAAGCAATATAATAATAATAATAATAATAATAATAATAATAATAATAATAATAATAATAATAAAATAATAATAATAATATTAATAATTTATTAAAAATTAAAAATTAAAAATTTATAAAAATTTAAAAATTGTTTGGTGTACTCAATTAAGTTAATTAAAAAACTGTGGATGAAATTAATGCAATAATAGATAAAATATTTGGGAAAAGTAATAATTAAAAAATGGAACAATGAAGTCAGAAAAGCACTAAAGTGGGGAGAATAATTTTTGTGTGCGTTTTATTGTGTAAGCTGAGTGGTAGGATTTGTGAGTTGTGACTTGTGAGTGTGTCCCTCAACTCTCAACCATAAAGTTCACTACCACTCAATTTCGAATACCATAATTCTTAAAAAAAAATTCATTTGACAAATTATCTAAACATACAATTCATGTGTAAAGTCAAATTATTTTCATGTGATTTTGCTAAAAGTGTACGTGTTTATTTTGTATTTGTGTTGAATAAAAGTGTTAACCTACCGTTAAAATTTTCATTATCTAATACGGAGTATAATTTTCACTTCACCAAGTTAATTGAATGCATAATTAGTACTAATTAATATTTTAGAATTTTATCATTAATGGTACATTATATTCTTTACATAAAACATTACGTACTCCGTAATATTTAAAGATAATGGTCAAATAAGCTCTTGAACTATTAATGATAGAAAAAACTTCAATTAGACCATTCGATAGGTGTCTCGTAAAGTGACAATTTTTGCACATTTACCATCTTCTCTACTATTTTGAATGAATTGGTAAATGTAGCAATAACCTCATGTGCAAGTTGTTATCTTTAATCTTTCTCAATTTACACTCTTCTTCCAATTGAATTATCTCAGATTCAAATAGGCTAAGGGTGCGTTTGGAAACCCGAAAAATGACTTCCAACAAATATTTTCCGAGTTTTTAGTGTTTGGCAAGAGGGGGAAAATGAGGTCAATACAAAGTGATTCATTAGTCAAAGGAAAATATGTATGTTTTGGGGAAAAATGACTTCCCCTTTTTTTTTTGGGAAGTCATTTTCCAACTCTTCATCCTCTACCCTCTTTCTCCTCATATCACTTCCTCTACTTCTTCTTTCACCGTCTATATATAGATACTGTATGTAATATATATATATATATATATATATATATATATATATATATATATATATATATATACATTCAAAATTATCCTCGAAGCTTAGTGCTATTCATAGAAGAATTTTATCAAAAGTACCAAACAATTAAAATGTTGAATTATACAATTCTATTTATTTTCCTGCTCATTTTCTGAAAAATTAACCAAACACACAAAGACAATTTTCCGTTGCGCAGCCAAACACCGGAACATTTTCCAGAAGTCATTTTCCGGGTTTCCAAACAAACCCTAAGCTTCTTAATCATTTTAGTGTTTCTGAGCACTAATATACTATTTTCTTCTCTCACTTTTGCCTAACTGTTCTTCACATTTTTAAAGCCCTTCATCAGTTCGAGAATTAAATCTATATGATCAACACACTCATTTCCACATTCAAAATCTAAATTGGAAGATGAAGTAGAGTTTACCTCATTTTCTTTTGTTATCAGGCAAAGGTCTTCGCTTTTACCTTATTCCGCC